GTTCCTCCCTGCCCACTTAATCATAAGCAGACAACCAGAGGTTACCAGACTTCCTAGTAAAACCTTCAGTAAGGAATATGGAGACCAAATGAACTGGAGGCAGCAGAGATATTACAGGGAGGAAAAAAAAAGATTTTTAAAGACCATGAATATCCCCAGGGAAATCAGAGAAGATGCTGCATACCAGGAACAGAATCTTGTTTTTTAAAGACTATTTAGAGAACAAAAAAAAAAGTTTTTGGAACTCAAAAACATGAGAGCAGACATGTGAAACTCAGTGGAAAGGTTGAAAGATCAACTCGAGGAAATCGCATAGAAAGAAGAACAAAGAGACAAAGACACAGAAAACCCAGAAACTCGGGCATCAGAATAACAGGGGAGAGAGACAGACAGAGAACACTGAGAAAGTGGAAATCACGGAATCATTCTCAAAATAATTTCAAGAGTAATTCTCCATCCAGAAGAACATAAGTTATAGAACTGTTGTAGAAATGAGTCCTTCTGGTTTTCGCCTATGACATGCACCTGGGTTCAAGGAGAATTTCTCAGTAAGTGGTAAGGAATAGTGTTTGCTGGAGAAAGAGGAAACCACAAGGCCAGGGTCTGTAAGAAGAGACGGGAAGACAAGGAGTGGGAATGGCTGAATCTCCCATTATTTCACAGGGAGATATGTTGGGGTCATGGTGCTGGGATGCAGTGTGGGTCTGGATCCAGTAGACGGACCCCATCCTCACTGTGGGTTTCCCTTTTGTAGGCAACTGTAGGAAAGCCATCTTGTCAAGGGGGTGACAGTAGGGTACTGGTCCCCAGGCAGTCTGGATCTAGGGTGTCTGATGTTTGCAGGTGTTAGGTAATGCAAGCTGCCCAGCATCTGGTGACCTTAGCATCTGTGAGAATTTGTAGGTGCACCCCCTAGGCCCCCACTGGGGGAGAGCAGGAGAGAGGAAGCTATTGATCTTATAGGAAGCTATGTTACCAAACCAAACTTGAGTCCACTCACCCCCAATCTACTGACATCGGGTTGTGGTGAAGGAAAGTACAGCGTTTATTGCAGGATGGCAAGCAAGGAGAGCAGGCAGCTAGTGCTCAAAAGGCCCGAACTGAAAAAGCCTTCAGGGAAAAGTTTTTAAAGATAGGATGAGGGAGAGGGTTTGGGGGTGCATGATCCGCTCATGGACATTCTTCTGATTGGTTGGTGGTGAAGTAACCAGGAGTCAACATCATCAACTTTCTGATTCCAAGTGGTCTGGATTCTACGTGCTTGTGATCAGAATGCAGTTAACTTCTTCCACTGGATGGGGGTTTCAGTACCTGCAAAACATCTCAAAGGACATGGCTCAGAACATTATCTATAGCCCTTGAGGAGGAACTAAAGGTCCTGGACTTTGTTTAATAGCCAAACTGTTAGTATTTTTGTCTTGCTTAACTGTTTTCCTTTGTTTCTGCATTTTCTCACTGCTCTGATTAAATTAACTCTTTGGAACTCACCTAGGAGGCTAAAGTTTTTCTGCAAACAAGAGGCAGGCGGAGGACGTGGGGTTGGGGAGGGGGGAGTTATGTCCCAGGAAGGCCCCTAGGATACTGCTCAGTTATGGCTATGCTTAGATATAGCTCCTCCTACCCTGAAGCCAAGCTGGCTTATGTCTAGTCAACCCAGGGTAGGCTCCAGGGTCTTTTAAATAATTCTGCACCATGAAGGCGGAATAGCCCACTGAGCTTCCAGCATAGTGGCTGAAAACAGTTCCATCCTAATGCATGTCAATAGGAATTCTCAGAACACTGAGGATGAGGAGAAAATCCTGCAAACTTCCAGGGAATCAAGCAACTGGTCTCATATGAAGGGTCAGTGATCTCAATGGATTTGAACCTCTCAATGTCCATACTGTCAGAGAAGACAATGAAGCAAGGCCATCAACATTCTGAAGGAACAGGATTTCCACCCTAGAATTCGATATCCAGACAAATTATTAAGCAGATGGGTGAGTGGTATTTTTCAGCCATGCAGTCTCCAGAAGTCACCACTCCAAACTCTTTCTCAGGAAGCTACTAGAAGTTGTTCACCACTGAAACCGAGAAAGAGGGACATAGAAAACAGGAGATCCAACCAAAGCCAAAATAATTTCCTGGAGGATAATGGAGGGAGACCGCGGAGGGCAGCCAGTCCAGACTGGAGCAGTGCTTATCATGTCCTTTGCTGCTATACCATGTAGTTCCCCCGATCATGTGCTTTTAGGAAAGCAAGAGAGTAAACCAAAGAAGAGAAAGCCTTGAGATCCAGGACACATGGACAACCCCACTCCAACCAACTCAAGAGAAAAGCAAAGGAAATTTTAAGGAAGACGGCAAAAGAAAGTCCCAAGATGACAACTGGATGGCAGGCCTAGAGAAGAGCAAGTTCAGACTGGAGAAAAATGAAGGTCTCCCAGAGGGACAACTCCAGGGAAAAATTGGAAAGGATAGATTATCTCCTATGACTGACCTTATGGAAATGTGTACCATGGGAAGAATATGCAATGGGTGTAAAGAAAGTTAAGCAAATGAAAACAATAAGGCAATTATTAACTTTGGAGAAAAACAAAAGCAAAAAATGAAAGAAAAAATAACATGCATTTTAATGCTTAGCTGTGAATAATTTTTACACGGGCATAGTAACATAGTCTCTGAATGTTGTTTTAAGAAAAAGTTGTAAAATAACCTACTGGAAAGATGAAAGAAGAGAAGGAGAGAGGATGTTGGTATAAGAGCACTAAACCCATCTATCATGATAAGAAAACAGTTGCATAAATGTTTACAAATGTTATATCCTCTTGTTGAATTGAACCCATTATATAACACCCTTTTGTCTCTTACTACAAACTTTGTTTTAAAGTTGATTTTTGGTAGGGTGGGTATAGCTTAGTGGTACAGTGCATGCTTAGCATGCACCAGGTCCTGGGTTCAACCCATAATACCTCCATAAAAATAAATAAATTAAATAAATAAATAAATAAATAAATAAATAAATAAATAAATAAAAAGTCAATTTTTTTCTGACGTAAGTATAGCTATCTCAGCTTTCTTTTGGTTTACATTTGCATGGAATATCTTTCTATCTTTCTGTGTTCAGTCTGTGTGTGTCCTTACATTTAAAATGACTCTCTAAAGGCATCATATAGATAGAATTTGTTTTTCTCAGCCACGGTATGTCTTTTGATTGGAGAATTTAGTCATTCACATTTAAAGTAGTTATTGATGGGTATGGGCTTACTGCCATTTTGTTTATTATTTTGTAATTGGTTTTATGGTTCCCTCTCTGTTTTTCCCTCCTCTTGCTTTCTTCTTTTGTGATTTGGTAATTTTCCTTAGTGGTATGCTTATATTCCTTTATTTTTTATCTTTTGTGTGTTTATTATAGGTTTTTGCTTTGTGGTTATCATGAATGGATAAAGAAATTGTGGCATATATATATATATAATAGAATATTACTCGGTCATTATTAAAAGAATGAAATCTTGGGAGAAGGTATAGCTCAAGTGGTAGAGGGCATATTTTGCATGCACGAGGTCCTGGGTTCAATCCCTAGTAACTCCTCTGAAAAATAAATAAATCTAATTACCTCCCTCCTCTTACCAGACAGAGAGAGAGAGAGAGAAGGGAGAGAGAAAAAAAAAAAAGAATGAAATTTTGCCATTTGTGACATGGTTGGACCTTGAGAACATCTTGCTAAGTGAAATAAGTCAGAAAGATAACTACCATACGATCTCTCCTACATGTAGAATCTAAACAAACAAACAAGCTCATAGATACCAACAACAGATTGGTTGTTGCCAGAGGCAGGGGATGGATGGTGGGAGAAATTAATTAAGAGGATCAAAAATTTTAAAAATTTAAAAATAAAGGAGACATAGGCAGAAGATTTGAATTGACATTTTTCCAGAGAAGAAATATAGACGACCAACAGGTACAGGAAAAAATGTTCAACATCACTAAGCATCAGAGAGATGCAAATTAATACCATAATGAGATATCACCTCACACTTGTTAGAATGGCTATTCCCAAAAAGATAAGAAAATAACATGTGTTGGTCAGGCTGTAGAGAAAAGGGAATCCTTGTGCACTGTTGGTAGGAATGTAAATTGATGCAGCCACTATGGAAAGCAGAACAGAGGTTCCTCTAAAAATTAAAAATAGAACTATCATATGATGTCTAGGAATTCCACTTCTGGGTCCTTATCCAAAGAAAACAAAAATACTAACTTGAAAAGATATATGCACCCCCATATTCATTGATCATTATTCACAATAGCCAAGATATGGAAATGACTTAAGTGTTCATTGATAGATGACTGGAGAAAAAAGATATGAGATATATATATAATGGAATATTACTGAGCCATAAAAAGAATGAAGTCTTGCCATTTGCAAAAACGTGGATGGACCTCAAGGGCATTATGCTAAATGAAGACAGACAGACAGAGAAAGACAAATACCATATGATCTCACTTTTATGTGGAATCTAAAAAAAAACAAAACAGAACACCAAGTTCATAGATACAGAGAACAGATTGGTGGTTGCCAGAGGCGGGGAGTGGAGGGTGGGCAAAATTGGTGAAGTAGGTCAAAATGTACAAACTTCCAATTATAAAATAAATAAAGCAAGGGGATATAATGTACAGCATGGTGACGATACTTAATAACACTGCACTGTGTATTTGAAAGTTGTTAAGAGAGTAGATCTTAAAAGTACTCATCACAAGAAAGCAAACAAACAAAAAAGGAATCAATTGATAACACCTAATGTGACTTTGCCACTCTTCCCGTCTAGGGGTGGTGAACTCTGCCCCATGGATCTGACCAGCCTTGGGGCATATTTTGACCAATAGAATACAGTATAAGTGGATTGAGTGAGTTCTGGAGCCTAGACCTAAAGAAGTCTTACAACTCTGCCTGTGCCGTCTGGGAACACTGCCCGGACCACCTCATAGGAAGCTAGTCTAGCCTATGGGAGGATGAGTGGTCCCAGGGAGGGAACTGAGGCACCCAGCCAGCTACCAGGCATGTGAGTGAGGCTGTCTTGGACCTTTCGATCCTGACCAGCCTCCAGCTGAATGCGGCTACAGGAGAGAACTGGTAAGACCAGCAGAACCACCAGCCAACCCACAGAATCATGAGAAATAAGGAACCATTATTGTTTTACAATTTTAGGACGCTCTGTTCCATAGCAATAGATAACTGTTATATCAAGCCAGTTACCACTAAAGGCTGCTGGAGAGTCTGAGAGACAGTGTAGAACATGACTCAGAGTTATCTCAGTCGAGGGATGGGGGAGCCGGGGTATTTATTCACCAACTTTCCATCTGTTATTGGTCGAGAGCTGCTTCCAGGGGCATGAACACTCTAGCATTTCCATTTGCCCTGCAAACACGCTAAGCATGCTCCCTGTGGCCAGAGATCTGTCCATTGTCACAGTAAGCAGACTTTGGTGTGTGGCAGTGAATGCAAGGGGGACGGGGCAGAGTACTGACAGAGCTCGCTATGGTGTGTAAACCAGGGTGCTTTTCAGAAACTTCTTTTCTGTTTAGTTGGCTAGAGTCACTGCCTGTTTCTTGCGTCCTGGAGCCTGACTGGTGGATGTGTGTCTCCACTCTGGTCCTTCCTGCTACCAGCTGTCCTGGTCCCGCTCTACTCCATAGTCCAAATTCTGGAGGCAGCCAAGTGGATCAACTCTGCACACCTCCATCATCCTGAACAGGCAGAGCTCTTCCCTCCAGATGGCCACCAAGTGGCCTGCAAATGGGCTGCCTGCAATCAGGGGCCCGCCTGGACCAGTCAGGGTTCAGTTACTTTCCTGTGCAGGGCCATTGAGTATGTGCAGGCACCATGACTGATCTGCTCCGACGAGGTGGGAGAGGCATTTGTATCTGAATTCCTGTCCCTGCCCTATCTCACCGTGGGGACTTGGCCCATTGTTCCTGGATTCAGAATTTCTGGGGCATGGAGCCCTCTGTCCACTGTGGGGGAGAAGAAAGGAGTACCTGGTACCCAAAGTATTTGCCCCATCCCCCAGTGTCCCTAAGGATCCCTCAACCCTGATGCCAACTAGAAGTGAGGCGCCTGCCTACACTCCAAGCTGGAACCTGAAATGCATCTGCCCACACAGACCACACTATAAATGGTGACCAAATGCAGTTAACATTGCACTGTTCATGATAAACTTCAGGAACGTTATGAGTTAAATAGAAATTTGTGGACTGGCCTGAAAAACCAACCACCATTTATAACTTGGTTTCTATGGGAAAATGCATTCTGAGTTCCACACAACTGGCTCACATAGCGATTTCTGGAACGCAGCCTGGTGACAACGCGGGGAGCTGTAGGTGGCTTCTCAGTATACCCAATGAACACGGTCACTGTGGGTAGTTCCTAGTGGGCCCTTGCTCCAGGCTTGGGGAGCCCTGAAGAAAGTTGTGGGATACTCTGGGCAACCCTGGAACAGCCCGTCCCTTCCTTCAGGGATGGGGCCGATGGGGACGGCACAGGACACCTTGTTCTCCATGCAGCTTTCCTGACAGTCTCTGCTCATACGCTCCCAAGAGCAAGAAGCTCACGGCTTCACAAACAGAGATTTTGTAGGGCCAGCTGTCACTGCTGAACAATGCTTTCCTACACTGAGCTGAAATCTGTCCTCCACTTCCTCCCACCCCGATTCCAGCCCTGCAATTTCTACTCATCCTTCAAACCTTGCTTGAGTTTTAACTTCTCTATGAAATCTTCCCTAATCCCCATCCTCCTCCACGTTAGAGTAATACTAGCTGCTGTAACAAAAAAGCCTCAAAAACGTCTCAGAACACATCTTTCCTTGTCAAACAGTGGGTGTCTCAGTCAGCTCAGGCTACGGTGATGAAATGCCACAGACTGGCAGCTGAAACAAGGAACATCTATTTCTCGTGGCTCTGGAGGCTTGTGGAAGTCCCCTGAGTCTGTGCCGGCAGGTTTGGTGGCTGGTGAGAATCTGCTGCCTGGTTCAGAGACAGCTGTCTCCTCACTGTGTGTGCACATGGAGGGGAGAGCATCTCTCTCATGTGTCTTCTAATAAGGGCGCTAATCCCACTCCTGAGGGCTCCATCCTCATGGACTAATGAATCCCGAAGGCCTCCCTTTCAAATACCACCACAGTGGAGGGTGGGGCTTCAACATACGAATTTGGACAGACCTTTGGTCCACAGCAGCGGGTGTAGGGGAGGCTGGCAGGCAGGCAGAATTTCCCGACTGGCGATTAAGGGCCTCAGGCTCCTGCCAACCTGCCAGCCTCCCCTCAGCAGGTGGAAAGGAAAGCAGGCAGAAGGCCCATCTGCTTTTTAACTTGACTTCTTGTCTTGGCAGTGAGCTATCCTTCCCACTCAGTGCCACTGGCAAGAACTCAGCACGTGGCTCCACCCAGATGAAGACACGGGAGAGGCCTGGAAGTGTCCTCCATCGATAGACAGGCATTTCTAGTGATAACTCCAGACCAAGGAGGCAGAAGTGCAAAGTTTTATGGACATCAAGTTGTCTTTTAGACACACACACACACACACACACACACACACATACACACACATACTGAGTTTGCTCTCAGCAGGTACAGACTCCAGGCCAGTCTGAGTTCAGTCTTATTGACGAAAAAGACCAAGACAAGCCCCCTGCTCTGAACTGGTCCATGTGTCCCGAGGGTCACAGGATACCAGGAAGGGAAAAAAAATTAATGCTCCAGGAAATCCTTTCTCTAGTTAGAGGCACAATGGGAACAGAAGGCTGGGCCTGGATCTACCTGCAAATGCACAAGCTTGAGAGAGGCCCTGAGAGTTCCTCGTCCCTGAAGTGTTCCCTGTTGGCCGGACGTCAGCAATTCCACCTTGCGGCTGAGGCCTGACGCACTGCATGCAGATAATGGGCAAACCAGAACAATCGCTCCCATTTACTGAGCACTTACTATGTGCCAGCATTGTTCAGAGGACTGGATGCTGTTAATGCAATTAAGCCCCTTCCACCCTAAGACTGAGCTCTGTTCTGCCTGTTATTACTGATAAGGGCGTGGAGGCCCTGAGGAGCTGGGCTGTGTCCCAGGCTCTGGGGCAGAGCCGGGACTTAAATCACTGGGCCCTATTGCCCGGCAGGGCAGCAGGAGGTCCTCAGTCCTGGGCACTTCTTTCTTTGTAAAGCCATCCCAGCTCCCCTTAACTCCAGGGAAGGTGGAGAGGGGAGTAGGGAGGGAGCATGAAGCCTCAAGGCCAGGAGGACAAAGACTGGAGTTCCTGAATCCGCCTGGGTGCCCTACCTCTGGGGGAGAGAGCAGGGTCCATGCGGGCCCTCCCCACCCCAGTCCCCTGCCCGGCTCCCCAGTCGGCCACCTGTCACTGAGCATCGCTGAACAGCTGTGCCTGGAGGCCCCTCTGGCCCCTCTCAGTGAAGAGGCTCCAGGCAGGGGAGGGGAGGCCAACCCGCCTTAATGGGCTTTTCTGCTGGGTGTGCAGCAAATCCTCCAGCCCAAGTTCACCGGGAGGTCGAGAGCTTCTCCTCCCACCTCCCCACCTCCCCACTGCCTCCCAACCCCCACAGCCTGGACCAGACCAGCTGGCCCACAAGGATCCTCCTTCCCCACCTGCAGCCCTGTGGTTGAAAGACCCGAGGAGTGTGGGTCCCACCATCCCAGGATGGGAGGTACCCACCCCATAGTCTGAGGAGCAGAGGTGGAGACCCCCAGGGAGGCTGCCTCCCCGAAAGGACACAGGTGGTGGGGGTGAAGGCTCAGAACACTTGGGCTCCAAATTCCTATATCAAATGACTGGAAAATAGCTTAGACGGCACATCACCATTTGGGGTCTCAGTTTTCCCATCTATTAAATGGGTTTACCACTCTCAGTCAAAGCCTTCTGGGGCTTTGCACTGTGTCAGATTCTTACTAACCTGGTGACCCCACTACACCCACCCTTAAAACCCTTTACCATGGTAGCAAAAAAAGAGAAAAATTTTTTGTGTGACATTGTACAGCCATGAAAACAAATGTCACAGAAAAAACACTTCATGTTGTGGAGAAATGTTTACTGTATATTGATTTGTTTCTTTTCATTTGGGGGGGCAGGTAATTAGGTTTCTTTTTAATTTTTTTTTTAATGGAGGCTCTGGGGTTTGAACCCAGGACCTTGTGCTTGCTAAGTGTGCCGTCCACCGCTGAGCTACACCACCCTCTCTGCTGTATATTGCTGAATGAAAATGACAGATTATAAAACAGTAGGTTCATATGATCCAAGTTTTATTTATATATTTGACATATAAACAAATATAAAACTTGGAAATCTCTATATATAGATATATAAAACTTGGAGAGAGAGATACACGCCATAAAACTAATAAGGTGGAATAATTATGGGAAAGTTTTCATTTTCTTTTTTGTGCTTTTCAGCTTTTAAAACCATATTTTCTACAGGTATTTGTTTTCAGATTAAATTTTTTTTCACTTGCCTAAAAGTTTAATATTCCTGTGGTCACTTCCTTGCTCCCCAAAACACCCAAGTGTCTTTCCAGCCCACGTAACCAAGTTGGTGAGACACCTTTCTTGTGAGGAGCATCCGGGGCAATGATTTTTAACTCTTGGGAGCCCCTGACCTCTTAGAGTCTGCTGGGAGCTGCGGACCTCTCTCCAGAAAAATACACGTAGATGCAAATCTTATGTAGTTTGGCAGGAGGTTCCTGGACTCCGTGAAGTCAGTCCACAAACTGCAGGTTAAAAGCTTCTGATCCAAGTGAATCTCAAGCCAAAAGAGACAAAACAACTTACTGAAGGCTAGTGACATTCGGGTTCCTTTAAGGTTGTCTGCAGTCTGGCCCCCACCAACCTCCCCAGCTGTACCTCCCACTGTCCCCTACACAGAAGCACTGGCCCCTGCTCAGCACACTTGGCCTTCTCCAGGCTTTCCCCAGCCATTGCTCTCCACCCTTTCTCCTCCCCTCTACCTTCCAAATCCTCTTCATCAGTATCAAGGTTGGCCCCAGCTACATATAAGTGAGCTCCCTCCTCCCCTGATAGGACTGGCTCAAATTCCCAAGGGTACATTCTATCTGGGTAAAGTCTGGAGGTGTGCGATCCAGGGCTGGGACGGTAACTCCATAAAGTTGTCAGGAATCCAGGCTCCTTCTGTCTTTTTCGCTCTGCCACCCTCTGTGTGCACAGTTGATACCCAAGGCTGACTCAGGGACAAGGACATCCACCTGGTGAAAGCAGGAAGAAGGAAGGCGAGAGGCGCAATGAAGGTGCACCTCCTGCAAGAGTCACTTCCCTTAAGGAGCTATCCCAAATCTCCCATGTACCACAGCGCCTGCATCTCATTGATAGAAGCCAGGCTCCTGGCTACGTCTAACCACAAGGGAGGCTGGGAAATGTAGTCTTTTCCAGTGGGCACTGAGCTAGGGCTCTGTCACTAGGGAAGAAGGGTGGGATGGATAATGGCCAGGCAACCTTCAGCCTCTGCCATGTCATCTCTAAAGCCTGCTTCATTCATGAAGCCTTGCCCACTCACCCCAAACGCCAGTAGCCTCAGCTTCCTGTGCAACCTTCTCGTCTGGGTCTAAGACTTTTATTTTCCCATTCCTATCTCCAGCAATTATTTAAATATGTTACTGCTATCAAACTTGGGGGATGATACATTGTAAGCATTATTTACATTTGTAACATTGATGCAATTCTTCTTTATAATCTAAAATCCATATTCCAAGTGTGTCAATTGCCCCAGTGTTCTGTATACCACTGCAAAAAGCAAGTTTAGTCAGCCATCGATATATTTCTGGTTCCTTTTGTCTGTAGATTGAGGGACAAAGCACTGTGTTCATAAATTACATGGATAATATTTTTTCTTTCAGTGTCTTTTCATTTCAAATACAGTTGCGTTCATTTATTTCCATTTGAACTCCATTCTACAGTTCCCCTCGTCCCTGTTGATTTAATATTTTAAAATATAGAATATTAACATAATTCCCAAAGTCAAACTACATAAAAGGTACACTCAGAGACGTATCACTCTCCTAAACCTTCCCCTGGCCTCCTGACCCCACCACCTGCTTGTGGATAACCGATTTCTGTAGTATCTAGTTTATCCTTCCTGTGCTGCTTTTGAAAGAAAAAAAAAAGTGGATACCTGTATGTTTTATTTTTCTTTCTTTCTTGCATA